TATATGATGATGTTTGAGGACTACACTGGCTTCTTGAAAGCAATGAAAAATTGAATTTGTTGATTTACATGGTGTTGGCTTTTATTTTTGTTATTTGGGTCCAAGTGGAAAATGTTGAGGGTAGTTTGATGGTAATTATATCACATGCATTATAAATACTTCAATCATCTTTTGCACGATGCCACCATAATATGGTTTTTGTTGTCTAGGGGCGATCATTTCCACTACTAGCATGGATGGAATGGAGGAATTTATATTGGAATGGGTGAGTTAGATTTTTTAATAGCTTCCAGCTTGAACGGAATGGACGTGAGACTTGGATTCTGATACCTTTTCGTGGTGGTATAAGGCTAGCATAATATTTTTTGTTAAAAGACAATGAGTTCTAATTTTAGCTATTCTCTTGAGGCCCTTAACGCACATTAATATTTCGTGTATTTATTTCTAACGTGTCTATGTTAAATGTTTGATTGTTTCGTTTTTAAGAACAGTGTAAGTTTTTTTTTTTTTTTAAAGCACGGATTATGGGGACAAATTAGGCTTTTAGTTTAGTACATGTGCGAGTTCAGTGCTTGATTATTTCGTGTTCAAATTTAGTGCTTGATGTTTTTTNGCTTGATTATTTTCATATTTAAATTTAATATTCGATTTTTTTCAGTTGCACCGTGCCTTCAGGCACGGGTTATCTCTAGTATATATATATATATATATATATATATATATATATATATATATATATAAACTCTCAATTAAAGGCTTAAAATCCTAAGGCCCCCTAACAGCAGCGCCGCCGGCCTCTCTTTCTCTCCTCTTCCTCTAAGCTCAATCGTTGATCACTGCACTCCTCTCAACGGCGATTGTTCCTCTCCGCTCAACACCGACTCTTCTGGGTATGGATTCTTCTTCCTTGTGATGAAAATAATGCTCAAGTTTCCTGTTTTGGGGGGGTGGGGTAAAGTATGATTAATGCATTATTTTTTTTAATTAGATTCATCTACTTCGACGGCCTGAAAAGTTACACATTATTAGAGGATCTTGGTATTGATGATGAGGTATATCATTTTAGTTAAAAAATTTTCTTTGGAAGAATCTAATTTTTTTTTCTTTTAATGATGTAGGAAAATAATGTTGAACAAGTTGATTCTACCACCACCGATGGTGTTAAGAGATGATTGAGTTGGTAATTTTTTAATTTCAACCAGTTAATTTTATTAGTAAATACAAAATATTTCTTATGCAATTATTATAGTTTGTTATGTTTTATTTTTTTTATTAAATTACAGGTGTGAAGCTACATGAGAGAAAAGTTTCTCCATTATGTTGTTTGTGTTATGTTGTGTAATGTAGAATTATATGAAATTCAAGTAGTATTTTGGACATTTGTTGTTTGTATTATGTTGGAATATGTTATGTTACATTATGTTGTGTTAGATTATTTAGAATGTTGTATTATTTAAAATTTTGGATTATGTTGACTTGAGGTTGGATTTGGGCTTGAGCGGGTATGGGGAAGTGGGGACGGGAATTAAAAATTTATCCACATACAAGGATAGGGATGAAGATTATACCCATTAACGAGGATGAACAAAAAATGAATGAAATTTTATTAGGCGGGTATGGGGTGAAGACTACACCCCACCTTTGCTTTGATCTGACATCCCTAAGTATCAGTGTTCACATCAATAAATTCGTATTTGATACTGAAATTGGGTAAAGTTTACAGAACAAACAAAAGATTTAAATTTTTTTGGTATTGTATCGTGAACTACTAAAGACGGTCTTGATCAATCACATAAATCTATAATCGATCACAAATTCTTAGTATTAATTAAAATTTTTTATGATCGATCATGCCTTCTATAATTGTAATTTATACCTAAAAGATTTGTAACTTAATCGTAAAAAATTATAATTTTTGATACGATATCAAAATCGATTCTAAAAATTAAAATTTTTAAAGATTGAATTACAACTGCAAAAATTCAAGTTATAACTTATAAGGAAAAAACCTAAAGCTAATAATTATAATTTTATCTTTTAAAAGTAAAATCTTATCATTAAAAATAATGTTACAGTGTCGAAAAAAAAATTCAGTCGTTTGTTTAGCGGGAGAATGATATAAAATATAAGAAAAAGAATTTTTTTAAAAATTTTCATATGTTTGGTTAGTATGAAAAGGAAAATGACGGAAAAAATAATTTTTTTTCATGCTCGAATTTTCTCACTAATAACCAACTTTTTTTCTTGTAAAAAACACAAGAAAATGCAAGAAAGTTGTGATCTATAACTAACTTCCTATTTTATCTTTATTTTTCTTAAAATATTTTATTGGTTATTAATTCTAAAAAAATTTGGTATAAGTTTGATTAATCATATAATTTGGCCCAAAGACTTTTGTATTGGTGATTGTCTTAAAATTAAGTTTCGAGCCATTTTTTAAAAAAATTTTAACTTGCAATTATACTTACATATTTTTTTTCTTTTTTAGACCGATTTAATATAATTAAGGATAATTGAGACAATTATAAAAAATTTCTTATAACTTTTCTTTCTTTCAAGGAATAGAATGAAATTTTTTTAAAATTTTTTGATAAATTTTTCATTCTAATCAAATATATGTATGAAAATATATTTTTCATCATTTTCTTTTCTTTTACTTTACTTTCTATCATTTTCACTTTCCTTCATTTTTTCCTTCCTAACCAAACCAACACTTTCTTGTGAAATTAGTCAAAGGGTGACTCATATAGTTGTATGGATATCCGCAACCCACGATGTCACAAGTCTCTAGGGGTTCGATTAAACATATTTCTACATAAAAACTCTCGAATTTAATACAAAATTCATGTCATAAAAAAATTTAAATTTAATGTTTGACAAATAAATAGATAAATTTATAAATTTATTAAATAAATACATCAACACTGAATCATTAAACACGATTTATATATACTATAAACTTGATACAATAAAAACTCAACTATTAACTACAGATATTTAATAAGATTCAAGTCGAAACTCTACTGGAATAGAACTGCGCAAATGTTAGTAGTAGGCCCAAGATACCTTGGCTTTTATGTCTTGAATTGTAACTCTCATTTTGCTATTTTCCATGAAGGGCGAGGTGAAAAATCATCGATAAACTCTTTACGTTGTTATTGATTGAACTCATTGAATCGAATTTGAACAAAGATGTATATAACTAAACTAAATTGTAAACAAAAGAAAAACGAGTTTGTTTGAATGGTTAAGGAGTTGTTCACCCCAAATACAACCTAGCAATTCTCTTCTCCCTTTCCATTTAGAGCTTTTTTTTGGGGGGGGGGGGGGGGGGGGGGGGTTACAACACCTCATCTTGTAAGCAAGAAGCTATATGAACTANGTGGGGGGGGTTATATTAACGGTGGGTACTGAATTAACAAGCCAACCAATATTGATGCCTAGTCATTAACCTGGTGTGGCAGGGGCTACTAGTATCGATACTTAAAATTAAGTCAGGTAATCAAAGACACAACTCGTGAAATTAATACAAATTCGACACGGATTTAGCGAGTTTGAGTTTAGTCTTAACGGATTCAGGTGATTAACAAGTTAATTCGATAGACTCGTGAAATGAACGAATTAATTTTGTATTTAACTCATAAATTCGTTTTAACCCGTTAATAATGACACTATAAATTCTAAAAAAAAAATTAAGTCTCTCGGCTTTTGTTTCATCTCATGCCTCCCATCTCTCAACTCATTCGAATTTGGTAGTAATTTAATATTTATTTTTTGTCTTTACTTTTTTGTTCAGACATGATTTATTATTATGATAAATAGGTTAAACATTTGTAATATGTGACGAGTTGATGATTTTTTGTGTGGACTCGAAATATTATAACCAACTCTTTTTTTTAGCTGGTGATACATGAGTTGTATCGGATAACTCGTCTAATAAATGAGTGTAATAGTTAAACCCGTTTATAGAAATAAATGAGGTATGAATAGAGAATGTTTTGATACGAAACTGTTCTATCCGGCACGATTGTCAATCTTACTTAAAATCCTCAATTATTTTGGGCCCCATTGTTAAGTTAGAGATAACTTACACGGATATCATTTGTGTTTATATATGCATTAAAACTCTCTTTCTCTACGTACGCGTATGAATATGGAATATAATATATTTTGCTCGAAGTGACGAAAGTGTGGCATTTGTTTGTTGACCCAAAAACATGATAAGATGATGATAAGAAATGTATCATGATAGGTATGAATAAACATTCAATTAGGGTTTCAACGAAATAAAATCAATCAATTGAAACACAGTTCGCTCCCACAAATGCATTCATATGCACACAAACACATCTATGGTGAAGAGTTAAATCAATGTTCGATGAAGTGAACAAGAGTGTGTGAGTAATAAGTAGGTCGCTCAAGATGCTCCTGGTTGGGATTGGAATGTGATTTGCATTCCAGCGACAACTACTCTATGACCGCCCTCCCACCAATCAAGCAGTCGTTTGCAAAGCTGTTATAGTATTGGTTGAAGTAAAATATCCACAGAAAGATTTGGATAGGTGTTCAATTGATCTAAATCCAATTTAAACAACATCAAAAATTGATGGAAGAATTTAACTAAAACAAAATTAATAGTTGATGAACTAAATGAGATAATTAAAAATTCAAAGACCAAATTAAAATCGAATGCAAAATTCGTAGACCAATTATGATTTTTATCCAAAAAATTATGTTCCAGTCATTTTTGTAACCGCATTACTTGAGCACATGACGCTTATTTCAAACCCAAAAAAACTTGGTAGTTAAAAATTGGAACTGACATTGTAACTACTGTTGGGGACTCAAATTCCCACCGATTTGCATTTTTGCAATTATTTCAGTAATAAATAAATCAATCACTTTGTATGGATAGTAGTCCGCCCATAACCAATCAATTTAAATTGACTTTGTTCAAGATGATCTTCAACGGAATACTTTTGGATATCTCTACTTGGTGGATGTCCGGTCCAACAACAAACTGGGGGATTTCTATTTTGATTCATAAGAAAGGACGCAAAGTTGTTGGGCTACACTGCAAAATCCTGTTCAGCCAGGATCTACTTTTAAGTTGTGGAATTGATCACTTTGCTCGTATACGGGATTCTATTACAATTATCAGTCCTGCGAATAAGCTACATCCACGAGATGATGTTCTGGCTACTGGCAGTTCAAGGTCTCTCTTCATTTGGAAGCCCAAAGAGAAGTTTGAGATTGAACAACCACCGGATGAGAAAAAGATTATTCTTTGTGGAAAGGCCGAGAAGTAACTCAAAAAGAAGCCCGAGGGCGACAGTGATGATGATGCATTCAGTTCCAAGGAAATATCCCAAGGAGGTTCCCACCGGCTAATTTTGTATGGACTAATGGATCGATCCTCCTCGTTTCCTTTTGGCTGTGAACTTGCTCCTCCTACCGTGGTAGCGTTGAACAGGATATGCAGCTCTGCAACATTTTGGCGGCCTTTTTGGTTTTTTTGTACTTTCTGGCAACTGTTTTGTAAAATGTCTGTACGTATTGCCTTGTTGGAATTGTGCAAATTTTAGCTACGGTTTGAATTATTTGGTTGGAAAAGAATGATTGGATTTTTGAAAATAGGCGCGAGGTGGTGAAAAAAAAATAAAAAAGATCTTCAACGGAATACATTTGAAGTCACAAGCCATGATGTTTGTTGTATAACATACATATATTATATCCCATCGATTTCTTGGTTAATTATTTATTTCTTGCACTGCACGTTAACAACAATGGTTTTACAAACAAGCCCAAGGAAAATATATTATTATCTGCATGTTTATCAACATACACAGTAGAGTCATTACATTACCTTCCCAGCCTAATAAGAAACACTTCAAAAGGTTAAAAGAGAAAACTTAATAAGTCTTAATAAATTAGACTACTGCTATATCTCCAATACTCTCCTTTAAGCTAAGCGCAAAAATGTCAATTAAGTCAAACTTGACAACAGAATCCTGAAAAATGGATAGAGTGACAGATTTGATAAAAATATCTGCAACTTGATCACTGATCCTCACAAACAATGGAATGACAATACCACTGCTAATCTTCTCTTGAAGAAAGTGAATATCGATCTCTATATGCTTCGTCCTCTCATGTAATACAGAGTCAGAAGCAAGCTGAATAACAGATCGATTATCACAATATAATGTAGATGAAGAAGTCACTGAAAATCCTAATTCGCCAAGAATCGATCGTAGCCAGATAATCTCACATGTGCCAAGTGTTAGTGCCCGATACTCTGCCTCTGCTAAAGAGCGAGAGACAACTGATTGCTTCTTGCTCTTCCAAGAGATAGGATGAGTCCCTCGAAAAGCACAGAAGTCTGTAGTAGATCGACCATCACATGCTCCCTCATAATCTGAATCTGAATAACAGACTAGAGAACTAGTTTGAGATCCTGATGTATAGAACAACCCAAGTCCAGGACAAGACTTGAGGTACCGAAGAATATGATAAATTGCATCAAGATGAGGCTGGTATGGTTTGTGCATGAACTGACTAACTTGGCTGACAGCGAATGAAATGTCTGGCCTAGTGTTAGCTAGGTAGATAAGTCTACCTACCAACCTCTAATAGATAAACGGATCTCTCAACTCCTCACCTTCAGCAATAAGCTTCAGGTTTGCAATCATGGGTGATGATGCCGATTTGCACCCCAGCATTCCAGCGTCTGAGAGAAGATCTAGAACATACTTTTTTTGAGAAAAAATAATACCTCTGCTGTTACGAGCAATCTCAACCCCAAGAAAGTATCGCAAAAATCCAAGGTCCTTCACATCGGAGGTCTTCCCAAGGTTTACCTTGACCTGCGTAGTCCTAGAAACATCATCTCCAGTAATAATAATATCATCAACATATACCAAAAGGATGACACATTGTCCAGAAATATTTCGTCGAATGAAGCAGGTATGATCAAAATGACATCTGGTGAACCCTAAACGTACAACTACAGCACTAAAGCGAGAGAATCAGGCTTGTGGTGACTGTTTCAGTCCATAAAGAGACTTACGCAGTCGACATACCTTTCCAGCATACTCCCCATCACCACGAAAGCCCGGTGGTACATCCATATAAATAATCTCGTCCACTTCACCGTGAAGAAATTCATTCTTCATATCCAACTGATGAAGAGGCCCAGAGTACTCCGCAGCCAGAGAAATAATCAATCAAACAGTAGTCAATTTTGCCACGGGGCTAAAAATTGCACCAAAATCACGACCTAGTATCTTAGTAAAGCCCTTTGCCATAAGCTTGGACTTGTGACGATTAATAGTACCATCTGCAAGAAACTTTAGGGTGTAAACCCAGCAACAGCCTACAAGCTTTACCCCTGAAGGTAAAAAGACTAGATCTCACGTATGATTACGCTGAAGAGCGTCCATCTCTGTCTGCATGGCAAGAACCTACTAAGGCTCCTGCATAGCCTCTGAAACAAAGCGAGAAACCGGTATATCTGATAAGGTCATACTATAAGCCCGAAATATAGGAGACAGATCACCATAAGAAACATAAGCAGAGATCGGGTATAAAATCTTAGCAGTCCAACCATAACAAACAACTGGATGACGATCATGCCACGGATAACGACACTTTAAATCATCATCCTCCACTGACAATGTCTCATCAGGTAAAAAAACTGGTTCAGTGCCTGCAATCTCATCAGTACTAACAACAGGTGCATCAATATACTCAACAAACTGAGAAGTATTACCTGCATCGCCTGAGGTAAAGGGGACATCAGCAGGGGGATAAGAGTGAGGGCGACGAACATAAACCTGAAAAGGAAAAGAGGCCGTTGACTCTGAACCAGGGATGAGTGGCTCTGGAGGAGGAGAGACCGATGACTCTGTAGTGATAGTGACCAATGACTCTGGCTCCGGGGGTAATAAAAAATCAAAGGAAATATCATCAACTGGAGGGGCAAACACAGGACTGGAAGAAAAATAAAGAATATGTTCAAGAAAGGTAACATCTAGACTGTGATACATACGGCGCCTAACATGATCATAACATTGATACCCCTTAGATTGATTGCAATAGCCTACAAAGACACAACGAATTGCTTTATCATCAAGCTTATGACGAGTAAGATACCGATCCTGAACAAAATATGTGCGTCCAAAAACACGAAAGAGGACCAAAAATAGTGTTCGCTCAGGAAATAAAACCTGTAAGGGAGCCCTATACTGAAAAACACGACTGGACGTACGATTGCACAAAAAGGTAAAAGTCAAAACAGCAAAATGCCAATAAGATTTTGGCACTCCCATGCCTCTAAGCATACAACGTACCATCCCTATCAGACTCCTATTTTTTCTTTCAACAACGTCGTTTTACTTAGGAGTATATAGACAAGTGAGTTGCTGAAGGATACCTTGAGAAGAAATGTGAGACACTAAGGCATCAGACACATATTCCTTGGCATTATCTGAACGAAGAGCACGAACAATAACATCGAATTGTGTCTTAATCATCTGTAAAAACNACACTAAAGCATCAGACACATATTCTTTGGCATTATCCGAACGAAGAGCACGAACAATAACATCGAATTGTGTCTTAATCATCTGTAAAAACTGAGTGATTATAAGGAGTACATCGGACTTCTTAGACAAAAGGTAGACCTAAGTACAATAGGTATGATCATTTATAAATGTCACATAGTATCGAGCACCTGATAGAGCAGTAATATGAGAGAGTCCTCAAATATCAAAGTGTATTAGGTCAAATGCCTTGGGTGACTGGTGCATGCGAGGAATATAAGTGGTTCTAACACGTTTTGATAGGGAACATATAATACAGTTANCATAATATCTGGCACCTGACAGAGCAGTAACGGGAGAGGGTCCCCAAATATCAGAGTGTATTAGGTCAAATGGCTTGGGTGACTGGTGCATGCGAGGAATATAATTGGCCCTAACATGTTTTGATAGGGAACAGATAACGCAATCAAGTTTACCACCAACACAAGCATTACTCAAAGCAGGAAACAACATACATAAATATTTAAAATTTGTATGTCCAAAACGGTCATGCCACAACTGAACAGTTTGTGACGAAAAATCATAACGACAATTATTAGATAAAATACTAGCATGCAAGTTAGGAATAGATAAAGATAAAGCAGATGCAGGTGATGTAGGTGGAGGAACTGGTGAAACTGGAGGCGGATCGCCTAGAAAATACAGTTCACCTCTCTCATGTCCCTTGATAATAATCCTCCTGATACTCAGGTTCTACAAATAACATGAATCAGATAAGAACACAACCGCACAGTGAAAATCTCTGGCTAACTGATGTACAGATAATATATTCATGACCAACTTTGACGTATGAAAAATCGAATGTAACGTAAAGCCATCTGGGAGGCGGACTGTACCCCTACTAACAATAGGAGCATGTGTCCCATTTGCTAACTGAACCTGTGTATGTAACTACTCGTCAAAAGTGGTGAAATGATGAGCCTCACATGTCATGTGACCATTCGCACCCAAGTCTAGCATCCAAAAGGGAGACGGACTGACACAAGCATGAAAGGCACGAGGTATACCTGTAGTGGTGGCTGCAGTAGTAGTCGAACTCTAAGAAGTCAGAGTGATCATAAGTATATCCAATCGGGAAGTAATAGCATCCATATCATTCTGCCAAAGAGTAGTGGTACCTCAGCAATAGCAGCAGTACGACCACGAGGAGGCGGCTTAAGCTCTGGATGGAGCTTCCAGCAAGCAGCCCTGAAATGTCCTGGTCGGCCACAATAATCACACTGACGAGAATCCCCCTGTCTGCCCTAATCTGGGGCACCCTGACAGCGCTGGTCCGAGCGCTGCCCACCCCTAACTAAGGATCCTGAACGAGAACCTGCAGCTGCTGCAAGGGTCATATGATCAACTGGAGGAGTCCAAGCCATAATTGGAAGTGATCCAATACGAACGCGACGCTCATGCTGCTCAATCATCGTATACACCTCATAAAGAGAAGAAAAAGTCAACATTGATAAGATCTAGGAACGAGATCCCTCAAACTCATCACGAAGCCCCATAAGGAACTTATGAATCCTATCCTTCTACTCTCGAGTATGCAAGAATGTTGCTCCCTCAGGCTCTATCCTCGGAATAGCAGCAAGAGAACGTAAAGTTTCATACTTAAGTCAGCGCTGGGTCAAATAGCCATAATAATCCTGAACAGTCATATCTTCCTGCCGAGCATATGAGAGCTCCTGAGAAAGCTCATAAATACAAACTCCCCGTCC